TATATATATATAAATAAATAATTATGAAATATGAATTATAAGCAATAAATATATGAATTATACACGTATAAAATATTTTGTATTTACATATGCACAAGAGAGCTGAAAGTCCATGAATTGAACATGAAAGGAAGGTTTGATTAACAGAAAGCCTGCATCTGGATTGATTGTTGGTTCTGGAATGTGGCGCACTGGTCTTTGATTTCAAGCTCATCCCACATGTCATCAATCATATCCTGGGTAAAGAAGAAAAAAATGAATAATTAACTTCACAATAAATTTTATATAAGCTTCAATTAAGGTTTTATTTGTATGGTTTAGTACAATGTTTGCTAACAAAACAACAATTAATCTGGACAGTTAAAGCGACACTATGCTACTTTAGGTCTTATTTGGTAAAGAGTTCTCAAATCTTAAGTGCTAATTTTTAAAGCTATTTACTATTCAATTTGCTGAAGTCAGACTGGTAATAGATGGTTTCTGATTGGTTTCTATGGGTCCCTGAACTTAAGAAATAGCACTTAGGAATGAAGAATTCTGTTTGAACTCTATTGTGAAGGTAGAGTGTCTAATTAACAAATTTCTCCCTGCCCAAGCATTGTTTTGTAAATGGAGAAATAAATAAAATAAGTATTGCATTGTAAGTGCAATACAAAAATATTTTAAAGATTCTGTACAGAAACTACTTTAGCTTGAAGTGCAGCTGTGGCCTATGCAGTATAAAAGCATGAGACATATAGAGTGTCATACGCAAAGCCAGTTTTGTACCTATAACTATATAAATGTCTGATCTTACAAGAACAAAAGACAAGCCTTTGCTAAAACTGACATGGCTAAGAACGTTCTTCATAAGGGTACATGTATAATTTAGATATGCCGTTATAGGTAGGCTGATGAACAGTTAATGCATTTTATAACTATTTTGACAGCTAGAGACCGCACACTGACAGATCCACTCTTTATCATTCTACACATTTACACAATACTACCATGGTATACCAGTTTCTGACTGTGTTTGAGATAAATAATACCGGTACATACCTGACAAAACCCTAGGTCTGGAGAAATTGGAGGGTTTGAAGTCATGTCCTCTTTCAGGTCTGAAACTGTAGATGAATGAACTGGTGTGGAGCTCATTGCACATGGTGAGAAGTTATCTAGCTCTTCAGGAAGTCCATGATCTGAGAACTGAGGAGAGGGCATGGCTGGTAATAAGTAGTCTGTGTCCATGCCTTCCTGGTTTGCTGGTTCTGGGCACATTTGTGAAGCAGTTATGCAGTGAGAGAAGATCTGTGGAACTTCTGCACTGGTCAATGAGCAGAGTTCATGCATTTCACCCTGACAGCAGTTCAGGCCAACCGGGCATCTGGATCTTCTGAGTCTTTCTTCCCTTCTTTTTTCCAAAGTCTCATCATCCAAGCCGAGGACATCAGAGAGATGAGAAATGTAGCGGATGGTCAGGCGCAATGTCTCGATTTTTGTCAAGCTTTTACCAACCGGTGCCACTGCATCAGGCAGGTATCTCCTTAAGTTCTGGAGGGCTGTAGACAGATTTCTCATCCTCATCTTCTCTCTCTCGCTGGCACTATGTCTTTGGATGGACAAAGTTCTGTTTCTTAACCTTTGGCTCTTGGTTGGCAGTTGAATTTCTTTGGTTTGCAGGTTTTTTGACTGAGGCAAGCCATTTTGGAAGCTGTTGTAAGGCCCTTCAGAGAAAGCACAGGACTGATATGGGGGAGAAAAGTTAAAAGAGTCAATGGAAGATGTTGGTGAAAGGCTGCTGTAGCCTTCAGAATCAGAATAACCCAATTGCTGAAGTGGAGTACAGCCTGGAAGCAGTCTTTTCTCCTGGAACTGCAGTTGTGCTGGACAGAGATCCATGTCTGTGTGCTACTCTGGAGAGAGTGTGATAGAATGCTGACTGCAGCCTGTGCTGCCCAAGCTTTATCCTGAAGGCAGAGGTGTGAATTGTCACCTTTCCTGGCACCATCCACACTTCAAAGTCTAATGGGGCTGAGTAGGGGGTCTTGGGAAAAAGTTTCCCAGAGTACCAAGTGTGCATTTTAGCCCCTCGAAAATGAACTATAAATGGGCTAAGGAGGTCAATTACCTATGTGACCTGTACGGTAAAGACATTTAAGTTATTTGCTTAGAGTCAATTACTAGCATAATGATCAGAAGCTCAACCATTATTTGTAAGCTGGCGATTCTTCCATTTTCAAGAATGAATGTTAGAAATGTACCAGTTTTCAGAAATAACAATAGTTATGCTTTTGTATGCGAAAAAATATTATAGAGGCTATAATAAAATATAATATTTATAAAATATAGGTTTTTGTGTTATATTTGCCAGGTTGCATGTGATACAATTCTTGATGCAGTCCATCAACCAATCAACATGTCATTTTATAATTAATTGCAGGCACACAATGCTTGAGTTACCACATTTGTACTCTGTTAGTGAACATTTCCATTGTGACTAACATTTTCTGTTATCAGATAAAAAATGGGTAGTGCTTACTGACATTTGTCTAGCTACCTATCAAACTTCACATGTTATTCTAAATGATGGCAATATAAAAATTATGAAATGTTTCATAATTTTAGAAACTCAAACTATCTAATGTCTAGGGGCACTTTAGACTCTGTGGATACTCCAAGGCCAATTAATCGTAGAGGAAGGATCATTTGGGTGTCTTGTGGTCTCCTAGTCCATAAATGGGATAAGTTTCAGTGACTAAACTTACACATATTCACCCTCAGTAGACATAAGCATGCATGTTGTATGCACAGATCTATCCTATGAAGTCTTAACAAGTTGGATCCTCCATCCTGCATCATGAACATTTTATTAACAGCTTTAGACCTGCCAGTGTTGGAAGCTTCCCATCATCTTTTGATTGAGAACATTTTTTTCTTGAAATAAATGGTTTGTAGCAATTTCCTCATTATTATTTTGATTGTTTCCAAGTGATTAAAATTGAGTTTTAAATACCTCTCAGCTGACATTACAGTGGTTTCAATTGATTTTCACAGCAATTCAAACAGTTGGCTGTTCAACACTAGAACACTGTTATAACAATGGCTGGCAGATTGGTGTGGACAATTCAGCCCCAACTGATTGTTTTATTCACGGCTTTGTAAATAGCTTTCAAAATTGCTGCAAAAAAAATGTCCAGTGTATGATCAGCAAAACAGTGTTAGTAATTACAAGTCTGTGCTTGTTCTCCTTTTTAATAATTGATGAACTACAACCATCAGCATGTTTGGCCATTGAGTTCTGTCTATTATTTTGTAGCAAGCTCTGGAGATGTCATCAGCTGTCCCTCTCCTGCTTTATTTATTTGCCCAGAGCACAAGTGAGTCCCCGTGGCTCATAACATTTGCATGTGAAGTGTGCCAAAAGGTGACACACTTTGCCACCTATAGAGCAGATTCCTGTGGAGACTGAACTCTTGTCCAGTAAAACCATGATCACATTTACTTTTAGAGGTGAAACTTTAAAGTCAGAGTTCTCATGCTGCATAGTGTTCTGTGAAATGTATCAGTAATAATCCCTCCTACATTTATAAAATAAGGTAATGCCTTAAGGTCACAACATGAGAATAAAGGAGTGTAATGAGAGGTCTCACTTTCTCTTTCCATATCATAATAAGAATTTTTTTTTTATCTCAGATAAATATAATTCATATACATAATGCATGCATTGCTTATAAAAAATGTCTGTCTATAGCTGGCCATAAACATGAGATCACCACCCGGATTGGTCATATCAGATGGCATCCTGTAACTATAGGAACAATTACATATTACACCTCCTATCTTCTAGGCATTAAAATGTATCAATCTGAAACACTTTTGCTTTTGTTATGAACATATTTGCTTTATCTATAAAACTCAAGAAAATAAAATTGCATAGTAATGATAACAATAATACTTAACCTAAAACACAGGCAAGTATTAATAGTTGTATCCATGGCTGCAAATGTATCAGTTTAGTTAGCAACATTATGTTAATCAGAAGCCATGAACACATCATTTGCCTCCTCAGTTGGACCACAATATATTTTAGAGAGGCATCAGAGCAGCAGTATGAATGATTTCTACAAACAAAACCCATAATCAACAAATCAATGTCATAATGGTACCCACAGGCATAGGAGGGCATTGGTCCATGCAGGAATAATCTGATTGTTAAATGGAGAGGGGATGAGGAAAGAGATGGGTGGCAGGTTTCTCTAATGAACCCATTTGATTTTTCCCCCAGACAGTGGCTATCCAGAGCACAAACTGGCTGGTAAAATTAGACCGATTTCTTGTTTAACTTTTCTAGTGCAGGTTAGATGCTAGAGGTGTATAAGTGGCACAGCGCTGTTTTTCTTGAATAAAATCAGTTCATTAGATCCGGATTACTCAGGTGAAAAGAGTCTGATTTCTGAAAAATTGGGAATAGAAAAGAGAAATTTTAGCCTGTGGCAATAATCTCTATTGGTTGCCATGTCTCTCTTCTCCTCTCTACATATATATAGAAAATAGAGAAAGCACATGTGGAGTTCAATCTCTTTTCATGTATTTTCCAGTAACTCCCAGTTCACTGACTCCAATAAGAAGTGTGGCCATTTCACACCTCATATAGTCCCACTGTTTATGCAAGTGGCAGTCTACTCTTGACATCTGCACCTTCTTCACTAAGGTGTCATCTTGGGAAAGTGAAGTTATCCTCCCTGTAACTTAACCCCAGAACCCCTAGCAGTGAAAGTATGCCATGATCACTTTGCCTCTGTCTGAGCTCATCAAATACACTACATGGGAAACAAGGTAATCATATACTCATATCTATATCAATTCCAACCCTGTCTTCATCATACCAACACCACATACAATAGCAAAAAGGATTGCTTGATATTTTAAACAAATCTATTAACAAAACTATAATAAAATAATTTTTTCTCCCCCTCTCATGTACCTTATTATTAATACAGCTGACCCCTTGCCCAAGTCCCGCTGTTGCTACTGCAATGATGCATACTCAAATGTTGATCTCACCCCACACTGCACATACTGCTGGGTATGACCTTATGAGATGGTGCTTGTGCTCAACTACTGGCCACTTAGGCACCAAATATTGCAATGTGAGAATGATGGACATTGAATATGTGTGTTCCTTACATGGAACTAGTGGCACAACAGTGGGATTTGGGGTGGCAGGTAGCTGTACTAATAGTATGTTAGGGCACTAGAAATTACCCAGTAAATCTAGTATTTGAAATAATATCTATATATTAGAATTATCTCTAGATATTTTTTTTAATTCCCTGCATACAGAGTGAAACAATATGCAGCATTTTACAGAGTACACAGATGTCTTCATACCAGTCGCTGTACCCCAAAAGAGCACCCACCCCCCCAAAAACAAAACACTGATTAAATACAGGAAAAAAGTCCGGTGGGATTTGAACTCAGCCAAGACCAAAGACGAGGTAAGGGGTGCTAGCTGCTTAGCCACCAATTATTATGAATAACTATGCAAAAAGGTCATATCTGGCTTCTGAAGAACTTTCATAGAGACACATCACTAGAAGCATAGCCCTGGCTATCTTGCTTGGTTTCTCCGTATTAGTGGTCCAACATGTAAATATAGGGGCTGGTTTACTGACACATTATGTTTTCAATGACCAGGGTTCACTTTATTAATCAGGGTTGCGGTTATTGAATATTTCAAGTTAACCCAGGCCAGTATATAGTATGTCTGCAGAAGTACATCAGACCCATAATGGGCTGACAAGCATTCCTTCATAATATGCACCAGGTTCAGTGAAATGTGTAATTTTATGATTGAATTTCCCTCCATTTAACTGAACCTGGACTGACAACTAATGGATAGCTCTTGCCTGCCCGTGCTTCATGACACACTTCTTCATTACTGATGTGTGAAATCTCCACCTGCCTCTCTCTCCATGGAAGGGGTAAAAAGTGACACATGCCTGGGCCCCATGTCTCCAGTTACAGCAAATATTCTCTGCTAATAAAAAGTTCACATGGATACTTCAAAATATGTACAGTATATACAGTACCGTATTATGTCTTCAGTATACACACCATATACAGTCAACCATAAAAAACATCAATCACAGTATCTCTCAATCCTTAATATACATGAATGTAATTATCCACATAACTATTTGTCTGCAATCTCCTTTGGTGTCTTCTAGACATCAGGAGTTAAAAGAAACCTGTTTTGGATATAGAAACATTTTAAAGAATATAATTACAGTATAAAAGATTTAGGATAAGGTCTAGGTGAAGTTTTATTCATTTTTTGGAAATAGACACATTTTATTTTAAAATATACATCATTGTATTTATAGATACACACTAGTTCTTTGCTAAATGCATGAGGAGTTGTTTATAGGATTCTTTGTCTTTCTTCTAGGTGCATTATTTGGAAGAACAAATAAGGATCCATAATGAGGGATTTAAGTCATTGCAGCCATTTAAGATAGCCACTTTTAGTTTTCACTCTCTTGTTCAGCCCCACAGGCAGGGCCATTCGTATAATGAGGCAGCCTGAGGCGGTTGCCTCAGGCGGCATCTTATTGGGTCACGTCTCAGTGTCCCAGGTTGTTAAGAGCTTTAGGCAACATGTGAAGATCTGACCGTCATCCCGCCAAGTTCACTGGTTGCCAGGAGCTGAGCGTGGTGCTGATTGAGTCAGTCACTGTTTAGCTGAGAATATTTGGACTGGCTCCTCAACAAAAGTCAATTGAAAAATCAACTTTTGTCAACAAGAGGGTGCCATTGGGTCAAACACTGCTCCGGTTTCAGCAGGACTCATCCGACATACATTGAAAGAATTGTATGGCCATCTTTAGCGACTTTAC